TAAATTATTTATTCTTTAATTACAAATAATTTTTATGATACGCATATCTTAATTCCATAGGGGAAATTAAAAAACATTAAATCAATCTAAGCACTAATGACTTTTGTTAATCAAGGTGCCAAGCTCAAGCACATTGTAGAAAAGCAAGATAGTTGAAAACTACTATTTATAATAGCAGTAATAAGCCTTCGGAATATTGGATGTTGTTGTTGCTGTTAGGTACCATGGAGTGGATTCTGACTCATAGTGGCCCTGAGTATAACAGAACAAAGTAACTGCCCGGTCCTGCACCATACTCATAGTCATTGCTATCTTTGAGCTCTTAGTTGCAGCCAGTGTGTCTGTCATGTCATTTAACATAGTCCTCGTCTTTTGCTGGCCTTCAGCTTTACCAAGCATGATGTCCTTGTCCAGAGACTGGTTCCTCCTAATGAGGCTTTCTGCTCCCATAAAGTCGTACTCTCACAAAAACCCCATATTTAAAAAACAACAATAACAAAAAATATATATCAGGTTGCTATGAATTGAAACTACTACTTGTTAGTTTTTCGTACTGTGGTGGAATGCGTGTAGCTGTGATGGCTGAAGCTATGCCACAGGTATTTTAAATACTACCAGGGTCACCATGGTGAATAGTTTTCAGCTGAGCTTCCAGAGTAAGCCAGACTAAGAAGAAGACTACTGTTGAATGGTTAAGCACTGTAAGCTTTAGGAATAGCAGCAGAATGTGTTTAGATACAGTGCCAGAAGATGAAAACATTATGAATAGTAGGAGATCATGGTGAGATACAATGCCAGACGATGAGCCCTTTAGGTTGGAAAGCACTCAAATTATGAGTGAAGAGCTGCCTTTTCAAAGTAGAGTTAGTCATAATGATGGGATTGGAGCAAAACTTTTGAGACATTTATTTGCCAATGAGTGGTGGTGGTGTGCCCTTGGACTCCATTCTGACTCACAGTGACCCTGAGCATAGGGTTTCCAAGGCTGTAAATCTTTTACAGGGACAGAAAGCCTTGTCTTCCTCCCGTTGGACAACTGGTAGTTTTGAACTGCTGACCTTGAAGTTAGCAGCCCAACTCATAACCACTACACTACCAGAGCTTCTTTTGCTAATGAGACACAACTCAAAATGGGAAGAAACAGCTGCAAACATCTATTAATAATTGGAACATGGAATGTATAAAATACGGATTTCAAAAAATTCGAAGTGGAACATACAAAGATTGATATCCTAGGCATTAGTATGCTAAAATGAACTGGTATTGGCCATTTTGAATCAGATAATCATTTGGTTTGCTATATCAGAACAACAAACTGAAAAGGAATAGCATGTATTCATTGTCAAAAAAACAAAACAAAACATTTTAAGATCTATCTTGAAGTATAATGCTTTCTGTGATAGGATCATATCCATACGACTACAAAGAAGACCAGTTAATACCACTATTATTCACATTAATGCAGCAACCACTCAAGGCAGTGATGATGAAATTGGTTTGAACCACAAGGTTGGCGGTTCAAACTTATCAGTGGTTCCTCAGAAACCCTATACAGGGGTGTCGCTATGATTCAGAACCAACTCAACCGCAATTAAAAACCAACTTTTTTGGTCTAAAATCCATCAATATGCAATCTAGATGCATTGGTAGTTACTAGTGATTGTAATGCAGAAGTTGGAAACAAAGAAGGATCAGTAGTTGGAAAACAATGGCTTAGTGATAGAAATGATGCTGGAGATCACATTTTAGAATTTTGCAAGACCAACAACTTATTCATTGCAAAGGCAGTTATACACATAGACGGACCTCAACAGATAGAATACACAGGAATCAAGTGGACAACAATTGAGGGAAGAGATGGTGGGAAGAGTTCATACATCAGCCAAAGCAAGGGTAGGAGCAGACTGTGGAACAGACTAGTTGCTTATATGCAAGTTCGGGTTGTTAATGTCCTCTTTATTCTGTTTTTTAATTGTGGCCAAAGTTTTATGCTTGGTAAGCTGAAATGTATTTCTTTACCTAACAATGTTTGAAGTTTCTTTATATGGTTGCTCTTTTGTAGGCTGTGAGATACAACTGCATTAGAATAGACAACCAACCAGTATTCAATGTAGAGGTAAGGGACTTGGAGTGGAATGGTAAGGGGAGCAAAGAAATTTTGGTTTTGTTATATTAATGTAAAGCAGCAATATGTTTATACAACAAAGCTTTCTATTAAATTTGAAAAGTAGTCTCTAATCAGAAATAAAAAAGGAAAGTTAAAAGTGTAACTTTCTTTCTCAAAGTTAAAAGAAAAACTTACTTTTTCCATATAATAATAACAACTGACCAGGTGAGATATGTTTCCCTTTCTGCTCTCACATTTATATCCATTCTTGTGACTACTTTTAGATTAATAGTATATTATTTCATATATTTCATTATATAGCGTAGTGGTTATGAATCGGGCAGCAAACCTTAAGGTCAGCAGTTTGAAACCAGCTGCTCCGCGGGAGAAAGATGAGGCTTTCTGCTCCTGTAAAGATTTACAGCCTCGGAAACCCTGTACAGGGTCTCTATGAGTCGGTTACGAATCCACAGCACATAACCACCACCATATAGTCTTTGGGAGTCCTGGTGTGGTACTGGACTGCAAGGTCAGTTTGAATCGCAAGGTTGGCAGTTTAAACTCACTAGCTGCACCTTGGAAACCACCCTATACACGATCGCTATGAGTCAGAACTGACTCAATGGCATTTAACAACAACATACAATCTTTCAGAGTATCATTGAGTCTCTAATAATTCACTCAACTGATAACTTTCGTTTTATTATGGAAAATGTTTTAACATACGTAAATGTATTTTGTGGAATTCTTAGAACTATATGAATGCATGACTCCAGTGTGATTTTATAACACCTTAGCAAGTGTGTATATTTGTAAATATTGATAGTGTTTGGTAGTATACCATTTTACTAAGTGTATCCTAATAGGCAGAATGTAATTTAAAAGTTAAAAAAAAAATAATTTAATACCAGAATAACGATGTAGGATTATTCTAGCTCTAGCCAAAAGTCTCCTCAATATCAAGCAAACTTTGCAAATTCTCTTAAAGATTTCTTTTAGAATTACTAGTTATGGCAAAGAATAATAAAATACAGCAATTGTTGATGTATTCTTTTTGCCAAGCCTCATAGTTCTAAGACATGTACATACACGTCGTCCTTTTGAACCACATAAACAGCCCTGTAAAGTATTGAGGGCAGGAGTTAATACACAGTTTAAAGATGAGGAAAAAAGCTCTTACTAATTCACGAGTTGAATTTCCCTCTTCTTTGAGTCATGGAATCTTTCCTTTTCAGGTTAAAAATGCTGAATTTCCCAGACGTGTATTAAATTTAATTGAAAGTCTTATAGAAGGACAGTTTTTTAAAGAAGCAATTGAGGAACTTTCCTCTTTGCAAGCACATTATATTCCTCCTGTGTGCCTTCTTCACGCTCTTCTAGAGAACATTCTACAGGTAAGTGCAGAGTTTCAGGGGTATATAATCATTTTTTTAAATGTGCAGATATTAACAGTTACTTCACTTTTGTGTGTGTGTGTTTTTACAGATTGTTTTCTCTTCAGTTCTTTTTTTTTATTTTAATAGGAAATGAAGTACACATTCATTACCACCTTTTTTATGTTTTAAAATGTTTTGTCATTTTTATAACTGCTTGGATTATGCTCTATACAAGACTAAGTCAAAAAGTATTGCTACTGGGTTTTTTTT